TTATTACCTTTTATTGGCGTCTGCAGACGTTGGTGTGTTACCAAGGCGGAATGCAGAAGACTGAATCATCTGGAAGGCAGAGGCATGAGTTCATTGGCAAGCTTTCTGGACTGCAGCCAAGTCACTGTTTTCTTTCCAGTAATCTCTGCCGGGGAGATCTCCCCAAAGGAAGACGAAGAAAGACATCTAATCCCATGCATATCATTTCAATGCACATCCCATACACGTTTCTCTCGGCGACGCCAACTGTTTTGCAAGCACTGGCAGCGCAGGAAGGCTGTGTGCGCCTGCTGCTCAACACTGTGCCTCTGGAAAAAAATGAAAAAAAAAAGAATTATACTTAATGGGATAAATGCAGGGAATTGCGTAAAAGGTGCCAGATCATATGCAAAGTATTCTTGGATGTCTATAAGGAATTCAAGGAACACACTGTCTCTGTAGGCTGCCAGTTCGAAAGTGTGTTTGTTATTGTACACAGGGAAAAATGTTTGTCCTAGTAAATAGATCAGCTAGGAAGCCGCCTTGCACTGAGTCAGATCCTTCGCTGATCCACCTTTAGCCTTGTCTACACACTGACTGGCAGGGTTTCAGACATTCCCAGCACTTACTGGGGATGGGGGGGGTTAAACCTTCTGCATGCAAATCAGGTGTTCTGCAATTGAACTGCAGCCCTTTAACATACTCTTTGCTGATGCTCTTGTTAAACCATTGAGTTTCACCACCAATTCAAACACAGATTCCCGCCCCTCAAGACCATAATCTACCTCCTGTCCATCTCCACATGCATTAAGTTCCTACATGGTCCCCCATTCAGACCCTGACTCCAAATCTGCTTAGCTTCACCAAAGTCTGCTGCATCAAACTAGCACAATATTTTGTCACTGGTTTGGAGTCCATTAGACAAGGTTGGATTTTTTGGCATTAACTTGTGACCCCGATTTGCTGTGTTAGTTACTCAGTTTGGGAGGACAGCACAAAACGTGGGGTTCGCAGCAGTAAACTAGCACAAAACTTTGTCATCTGTTTTGGATACAGAATTCTGGGGTCACACATTAATGGAGCTGCTGCAGCTCATCATATGATGATGATACCTTTATTGTCAATGTACAACCTGTGTACAATAAAATATGCTTCTAGATCAGAGACTCTCCAGATGTTGGACTGCCACCAGCCCCGGGCAGCATCGCCAGTTGTCAGGGATGATGGATGTTGGTAGTTCAACAGCATCTGAAGGATCACAGGTGTTTCCTGTGCAGAATGCACTGGCAAAGCAGAACCCCGCCTCACCCCAGCAGCTCAGCTTTTGACAGGTGGGTGGGATCAACTACCTACCAGCCACCTGACACCAGAATGACATCAGAGGATTGACAGGTGAGATGCCTGATCCACCTGCCAAAATTGGCCCATGGGGTGGGGGAAATAAAATCTGGGCCTATGGGGCCAAAAATATCACTTACCCCTGACCTAGTACATTTCTCCGATGAAAATAGGGACATCCTATTCTGCATCAGGAAGATTCTCCCCCATTTGATCTTGCCGTACACATAGACATCTTACACACGTAGACATCTGTCACCTTGAACCAATTACAACCTCTTTGCCTAAGCTACCTCGGAGGAACGTTATAAAGAAAAAATATGCAAGGGACATGATAATGTACAATGCCTTCAACAGATAAAGAGAACAAAATAAAATTTTAGCTGTAAAAAAAGGTGAAGGACCCCTGGACAGTTAAGTCTACTCAAAAGTGACCATGGCGTTGTGGCATTCATTTTGCTTTCAGGCCGAGGAAGCTGGCATTTGTCCAAAGACAGCTTTCCAGATGATGAGGCTAGCATGACTAAACCGCCTCTGGCACAACGGAAACCAAAGCGCATGGAAATGCTGTTTACCTTCCCACCGGAGCGGTACCTATTTATCTACTTGCACTGGCATGCTTTTGAACTGCTAGGCTGGCAGAAGCTGTGACAGAGCAACGGGAGTTCACCCCATCAAGGGGATTCGAACTGCCGACCTTCTGATCAGCAAGCCCAAGAGGCTCAGTGGTTTAGACCACAGCACCACCCTCTCCCTCTGAATTTTAGGTGCCTTGAGTTGCTGTCAGGAAAAAAGGCGGGAAATAACAACAACAACAACAACAACGAGAATGATCAGGAACATACCAGGGAGTAAATCCTATTGAACTCAGTGGGGCTTAGTTCTGAGTAAAAACGCTTAGAATTGCAGTGTAAGACTGCCTGCTTTTCAGTAGCCACTATGAGTTGCCCTTGGGAGGAGGGTGGCAGCAGCGGCCACAGAGAGACCATGGTGAAGGCATGGAGAGGCCCAGAGGCAATGGTGTGCTTCCTCACAGCCACCACTGCTGCTGCCAACATCACTTGGGACAAGCGCCAGCTCTTCCTCCTCCCCAAGCTCAGCGGTGGTGGTAATGGCAAGGGAAATAGGGACATTCCGGGATCAAAACAGAAGCCTTTTGTAATTCCGAGACTGTCCCTGAAAAATAGGGACACTTGGAGGGTACGAGAACCAAAATATGCCACTTGGGACTCCTTGGAGAAAAAGGTGGGATATAAATGCAATCAGTCCATCAGTCAATAAAGTAAGAAGGGGGGGGGGCAGAATGCAAATTGCAACTGGCCAGAGACCTCGAAAGGGACCACAGAAAGTGTTGGCTGTACTAACTTGCTGCAATGTTGTTGTTTAGTCGTGTCTGACTCTTCATGACCCCATGGGCCAGAGCACGCCAGGCACTCCTGTCTTCCACTGCCTCCCGCAGTTTGGTCAAACTCATGTTGGTAGCTTCAAGAACACTGTCCAACCATCTCGTCCTCTGTCGTCCCCTTCTCCTTGTGCCCTCCATCCTTCCCAACATCAGGGTCTTTTCCAGGGAGTCTTCTCTTCTCATGAGGTGGCCAAAGTATTGGAGCCTCAGCTTCACGATCTGTCCTTCCAGTGAGCACTCAGGGCTGATTTCCTTCAGAATGGATAGGTCTGATCTTCTTGCAGTGGGACTCTCAAGAGTCCCCTCCAGCACCATAATTCAAAAACATCAATTCTTCGGCGATCAGCCTTTATGGTCCAGCTCTCACTTTCATACATCACTACTGGGAAAACCAAAGCTTTAACTATACAGTGGTACCTTGGGTTACATACGCTTCAGGTTACATACACTTCAGGTTACAGACTCCGCTAACCCAGAAATATTACCTCGGGTTAAGAACTTTGCTTCAGGATGAGAACAGAAATCGTGCTCCGGCGGTGCGGCAGCAGCAGGAGGCCCCATTAGCTAAAGTGGTGCTACAGGTTAAGAACAGTTTCAGGTTAAGAACGGACCTCCGGAACGAATTAAGTACTTAACCTGAGGTACCACTGTATGGACCTTTGTTGGCAAGGTGATGTCTCTGCTTTTTAAGATGCAATCTATCAACCTAAATTTCTCCGGTGGAGACATAACCTCAAGAGCTGCTGTGCCTTTAATTTCTGAGCGCCAAGCCAAACTTCACAGCAATTCCACCAACTCCTTGCTTGGAACAGCGGCTGACTGCATAACCTTTGGAGACTGTAATTGGAAGTGAGTCTCTCTTCTGCTATGAGTGAGGAGCCTGGGGAAAACAAGCATCATTTAAAAACAAAAGAGGGCTATTACTGTCACCACCGGCTCTCTCGAATCGTTATTGGCTTATTTACTTATATTTTTGCAAGTGGGTTCAAAGCAGCAATTCTCGTGCCTCTCTTTTTCCCCCACCAGCCTTTTCTGGGGGAACCTGGGGTTGCTCTGTGGTACATCCCTGGATTGAGGTATGAATGCATTGGATGGATGTACAACCTTCTGGGCTTGATCGGTCTTATTGGGAGCAAGCGCTTCTTCCTGTTTGCAGCTGATTGGCTGGTCCTTGTGAGGATAGGAAGCTGTCTCCCCTTCCTGCCTGGACCAGCGTTTTAAGATTTAACATAAGACGTTCCAAGAGTTCTCTGGTTGGCTGCTAAGCCACTCTGTGGATTGTCATATCTGTCAACTGCCCCAGAAAAAAACAGAACACCCCATTTTTCCTCGCAAGGGGACAGCGGCCAAAATGGCCACTGCCGTCTTGTGTGATTTCAGGCTGTACTTTTTGGGGACATGGGACCAAAATAAGCATTGGGGGGCACACAATATCACTGTACTTTTGGGGGGCAGCAGTCTTGCACAGCACCCAAAAATGTGCATTTTGGGGTGCCATGTAACCTGCATGACCTGCAGCTGCAACTTTGCCAAAGTGCCCAGGCGGACTGCTTCCAGTAACAAGAGTTTGAGTGGCATTGGAGCAGCTGGCAAGGGGGAACACTAGTTCTGGTGGGCTGTGGGAAGGCAGCAGTGAATGTGCATCTTATCATGTTGCCTTTCCAAACTGCTACCCAAGATAAGCGCCCCAATGTGACTCATGATAGGGCTGGCCTTGGGCTGCACAGCCTCATTGCATTCAATATTTTTTCTCTGTGTTGTGCTTTGGAAACAAAGACATGTACAAGGTTGCAGCAATTACTGGAGGTGGATAGCACGGACTGGCTAGTCTCCATCTCATCATCAAAATCTCTCTACAATCCCTAGAGCTATTTTCCAACTCCCCCTGCCCCAAACCAAGTTTCCTTGTTTAGAAGCAGGGGAAAATAAGCTGAATGGTGAACATATAAACAGGTAAAGCTACCTTTAATTAAACATGGCAGCAAAAAGTGGAGGAAGAATTAGGTGGAACCGAACTTGGAAGAAAGCCTGTGCATCTGACATATAAAGTTTGATGCCAGGAAGGATCTGAGCTTGTTAACCACTGCGGGTTTTTTAAAAAATCACATCTGTCTTCAACACTTTTTTTTTAAAAAAGCAATTGTCTCCTCTGGCCTAGAAACTCCACCAAGATTAGAATTCAAGGCTACCTAGTGAAATAAATGGGTGAAAGTTCCATGAGACAAAAGATAGTACTTGCTCACACAAGGTATAAGGAACACACAGGATTCACTGGGGAAGGGGTGTAGCTCAGTGGGCAGAGCATCTGCCTTTGCATGCAGAAGGTCCCAGGTTCAATCCCTGGTATCTCTAGGCAGGGCTGGGAGAGAGTACTGTATTTTTTGCTTTATAAGACTCACTTTTTCCCTCCTAAAAAGTAAGCGGAAATGTGTGTGCGTCTTATGGAGCAAATGCAGGCTGTGCAGCTATCCCAGAAGCCAGAACAGCAAGAGAGATTGCTGCTTTCGCTGCGCAGTGATCCCTCTTCCTGTTCTGGCTTCTGAGATTCAGAATATATTTTTTCTTGTTTTCCTCCTCCAAAAACTAGGTGCGTCTTATGGTCTGGTGCGTCTTATAGAGCAAAAAATACGGTAGCTGCCTGAACCCTTCAAGAGTTCTGCCAGTCCGTGTAGACGATACCGATCTGAATCATGCAGTACGGTATTGCGTAAACAACAAAAAGACCCAAGGCCTGAAAATTGACTTCTTGTTGTTGATGCCCTGTTGCCAAGGAACCATATCGCTGTGCGTTCTTCCTCCCGACTCAATACCAGGCACTTTCCTGTGTTCTTATAAGGTGCCATTTATTTCCAATGGCCTCACTCTTGAACAGTTCCTGCTCCTTTCAGGAAGGTTTCAGCAGCAGAACCTTTTGACCCTGAAGTATCTGTTCTGACTGGCAGCGGTTGCCCAAGAAGTCAAGCACAGCTCTTTTCAAGCCTCGCTCCCTGCTGTTCTTTTCCGCAGAGCTACTGAGGAGGCAAAAACCTTCTGTACACAAAGCACCCGCTCTCTCCAAAGCAACAGCCCCTTCAGAACTTGCCCAGCACGATCCGAGTGTCACACCTGAGATCAGGAATGAATAATACTAAGACCCCGTGCCCTGGCCATGCGGTCTGCATCTGGGGACGCCACTACCTGCAAACCATCATCCTAGTCATAGTTACCCGTTTGTACTTTCCATCTTGTTGAACATTTGGGATTGTTTGCTGTCTGGCAGATGGAAAGAATAGAGACAGCTTACGAGTGGCAAGTCCTTTTCTCTCCTTTCCCACACAAGCAAACTCTATGCTTTTGGTCACGCTGCACCCCTCATCTTGATAACAGCTGTGGGATCCTGGTTTTGGGTGGTGGGTGGGTGGGTGGGTGGGAAGAGCTTGAAACTAGTAAAAATAAGAGAGAAAGAAACTCTGTTATCCTGTAAGGTGTCAAAAACGCAGGGATCTGTATGTAATCATCATGAGACCCCATTCAGATCCACCTACAGTGGTACCTCGGGTTACATACACTTCAGGTTACATACACTTCAGGTTACAGACTCTGCCAACCCAGAAATAGTACCTCAGGTTAAGAACTTTGCTTCAGGATGAGAACAGAAATCGTGCTCCAGCGGCGCGGCAGCAGCAGGAGGCCCCATTAGCTAAAGTGGTGCTTCAGGTTAGGAACAGTTTCAGGTTAAGAACGGACCTCCGGAACGAATAAAGTACTTAACCTGAGGTACCACTGTATTATGGAGGCTTCAACCAGGACCCCACAGAGGGTATGGATATACTCAGGGCCCCAAGGCTTTTAGGAATTAGGAAGGTCCAACACGCACCCCTGCGACTGACGTGGGAGATTTGCAGTCAAATCTGACAATGCATATTCTTGCAAGTTAGCCTGGGAAGGGAGAAGACCACAGAGCCACATTGCTGATAGGCAGACCCAGAAATGTAATTGCTAGAGAGGACTTTATGTGATGTCATTTTCCCTCCTCTCTTGGGCAGGAAGAATCAAAGTAGTATTTCCTGTTCCTTCCCGCTCTCTTTTTTTCTCTTCCACCACCAGCAATGAGAGCACATACAGATCCAACTGCACCAGCATCAGGCATATACCTGAGGCTGCCTATACTGTAGATAGAAGTATTTTGCCTGCATTTATTTTGCTGCTGCTGAGAACTAACGCATGACTGTAAGTAAATCATACTTTAAACTTACTTCTCAGTCTGTTGTCCGATTCTTTGTTAAGGGGGTGAGAAAGGGGGAGCCAGCTTGCTTTGCAACTGGACTTAATTAAAAGAAAGCTTCACTGCCTAGTCCTATACTTTTGGTTTTTCTGAAATCAGGTAACTATTATGGACAGATGTGTTCTGAATTGCCTGATGGAGTAGGAAGGTTTTCAGCAGGCATTCAAAACAGAAGACACAATATCTTTATCGGCAGACCGTATTCTCCCATGCCCCAGTGAAGCAAGTTGGGACATGACCTTGATGGAGCCCCTGCCCATCTCACTCAGCCCCCCTTCAGCTCTCGGCTTCCTCCTCCTTCCATTGGGGCTCCCCACTCCGCCCACACCATCCCGCTGATGGACCCTTACACATCTTTGCCTGCCTCCCTTTGCCCACACATCTGTGCTGTACTTCCAGAAGACAGTGCCGCTTCTGGGGGGAGGAAGAGGAGGGGACGATACGCAAGCAGAAGGTGAGAGCGCGGCACACAAAAACACATGCCTTTTGGTCCCGTGCTCTGGTGGGATCCAACTGACTCTCGCCAGACCGTGGGACCGAAAATGTGCAACTTTTGGTGCTGCTCACTGGCATGAGTAGATTAAGCTGGCAGGTAGGAAAAGACTGTACAGTGGTACCTTCATTCTCAAACTTAATCCGTTCCGGAAGTCCGTTCCCAAACCAAAGCGTTCCAAAACCAAGGCGCACTTTCCCATAGAAAGTAATGCAAAATGAATTAATTCGTTCCAGACTTTTAAAAACAACCCCTAAAAACAGCAATTTAACATGGATTTTACTATCTAATGAGACCATCAATCCACAAAATGAAAGCAATAATCAATGTACTGTACAGTACTATAAAATAAAGAAGATAGTATTGTAGATGATAAAAATTAAGATTAATTTCTTTTCTTACCTGCACTGATGATAGTCATTGTTTGGATGGGGGGCTTTTATCTATTTCTGCAGTCACACAATCAATCAATCAATCAATCAGTAGCTGAACTGGGTTCCACACAGTCACAAAAACAAATTAACCGAAAAAACCACAAAAACGCAAAATAAATAGCAAAAACAAAAGTGCTAAACTTAATCTGTTCCAGAAGTCCATTTGACTTCCAAAATGTTCAAAAACCAAGGCACAGCTTCTGACTGGTGCAGGTGCCCAGGAAACAATAGCCGACAGCCACATCAGATGTTCTGCTTCTGAAAAACGTTCAAAAACCGGAGCACTTTTTTCTGGGTTTTTGGAGTTTGAGAACCAAGGCGTTTGAGAACCAAGGTGCCACTGTATTCCTCCTCTAGACACTGATTCTCTGTCTTCTCCTCTTAATGATTAGTTTAGCCTTGAGGAGCTTGGAACATTTCTATCTTATGACCCATCTTTCGCCCTGGAGTGGAGAGAATAAACAAGAGGCGGTTTTATCATTGCGGGGAGGAAACTCTCATATTGACATTGCAACAGAATCTGGAAATCCCTTTCAAGGTTATGGAATCAGCCATCATGTTACACAATGGCGTTGGACGGAACGTTATTGTGGCATGTGGGTAAATAACTAAATCCCGGTGTAGCTAGAAGGTAAACATGTTTCTTTAATGGAGCACTGGCGGTTCATTGGGGGGGCTTGCCTAAAGGTGATTCAGTGCTTGATGATATGGTGTTAGACCTTTCCCTGCAGGCTTGGGCGAGGTTTGGAGAGAAACGTTCGGGAGCAGGGATGTAGCAGCAAAGTCACTGGAGGTTCTGCAGCCAGCTCACCAGAAACAGGATGGGGGGGCAGAAGGGGAGCAGAAACATCAGTGCATGCTGCTTGCTTTTGTGGATACTGATGATGTGTCACAGATGAGCTCAGTCGATACTCAGCTTGCATGTTTGGATAACAGATACACCGAGAGCCAGGTGCGGTGGTTTGAGTGTTGGACAAGGACCCAGGAGACCAGAGTTCAAATCCCCACTCAGCCAAGAAGCTCACTGGGGGACCTTGGGCCAGCCACCATCTCTGTCTAAGCTACTTTCCCGGGTGGTTGGTTTGAGGATAAAATGGAGAAGGGGAAGAACCACGCGAACCATCTTAAGCTGGTTGGAGGAGAAGCAGAATATAAATATAGTCATAAATAGAATCAGGAGAGTTGGAAGGGACCCCAGGGGCCATCTAGTGCAAACCCCTGCAGTGCAGGAATCTCAACTAAAGCATCCATGACAGACGGCCATCCAACCTCTGCTTTAAAACCTCCCATGAATGAGAGTCCATAACCTTGGTTCGAGTCCTGCTATCCAGAGCAGGAGAAAACAAACTGGCTCCATCTTCCACGTGACAGCCCTTAAGATATTTGAAGATGGCTATCATATCTCCCTTCAGTCTCCTCTTGTCCAGGCTAAACATACCCAGCTCCTTCAACTCTTCCACATAAGGCTTGGTTTCCTGACCCTTGATCATCATAGTTGCCCTCCTCTGTACGCCTTCCAGTTTCTCAATATCCTTCTTGAATTGGGCTGCCCAGAACTGGGCTCAGGACTACAGGTGGGGTCTGACCAAGGCAGGTTAGAGCGGTACCCAAGATCTGGACGCTGCTTCCATTGGTGCAGCCTAGAATTACATTAGCCTTTTTTGCTGCTGCATCACAGTTGACTCGTTTTAAGCTTGTGGTCCACTAAGACCCCTAGATAAATAAATGCAATAAATAAATAAATGAATGCAATATTGCGTTATATTTCCAAGCTCTTTGTAGGAATGTTTCTGTTCTCCAGCCAGCCTGGAAAAGGAGACTCAAAATGCTGTTGGGTATCTCTGGACTAAACTAGACATTTTTGTAGCATAATTGTTCTCCCAGTCACTCCTGGGTTGTTGTTTTTTCCCAAAAAGAGCTATTCAGTCCAGCATACATCTCCACTGAATGCCTGTATTATTATCTTTAATTTAAAAGGAGCCTGGTCAATTTAAAATTCCCCATTTTGGACAGTGCAAAAGTTATATTTATGAAACCTAGTAGGAAGTAATCACCCATTCCCATCTAGTTAATGCTAGAAACAAGTTGTAGAGGGACCTTCACGCAAAACCAAGTATGGTGCTCTGGCATGCTTTTCAGGAATGTGCAGTTCCTGGCCCAT